TGCTAATTAAAATTGATTATAATCGCTTTGATTGAAATCGATTGATATCAAAATTATACTAAAATCGATTGTTTTTTAATCGATTAGCTACCAATATCGATTATTATCGATTTTTCTAATCGGTGGCAATCGCCTCTGCAGCTGGTAATCGATATCCACCCTATTTAAAAATTTCCTGATGCTAAACAGATCTTGAATGAATACATTTTCATACTAAATAAATTTATAAATAAATTTATCATTAACCTTTAAATGGTAATAACGTACTATGGCGATCACAGTATTCAAAAATTTTGTTATATCGTTCATACACATATAAAGGGCCAGTTTTTCTCTACTTTCTACAGAAAAACCGGTAATATTTATTATTATAATTACTTTATATTATTATTTATTATTTGCAACTCTTCAAAAAAAAGATGTCCTCAAAGTTATTATATACCCGACTTTTTTTTCTTATGACAATTTCTTTGTTCATTATTGCATACTTCTTTGATCTTAGTAATGCTTATAAACTGGATAGTCTGAATAGGGAGCTAGAGACTAGAAGTCTTACAAAACGAGAAGAATTTTCAGGAAGTGTTTCATTCTTTCATCCAGACGTTGGTGCATGCGGTAAAAAAAATACGGACCATGATTTTGTTTGTGGAATATCAAAAGAAAGATTCGGTGATTCACCCGATCCAAACAAGAATCCAAACTGTGGTAGACAGATTAAAGTGACTAGAGGTTCGAAAACAGTCACAGTCACAGTTGAGGATATATGTACAGGATGTCACAAAGATGATCTTAATTTATCTCCGGACGCGTTCGATCAAATCGCTGATCAGTCGGCTGGACGTGTGGATTGCACTTGGGAGTTCTTGTCATAACGTTATGTTAATATTATTCTCCAAAAAGATTTTTTTTTTTTATACTTTCCAAGAAATCTTTTATTCAAGAATTAATAATGGTTTGATGCTTTAACCTAACATATACGTAAACATTAATAATGCATTAGATAATTTTTATACTTCGATAAATTCGTATGTGTATGTAGGTAGACTTCTTGTTTTTGTCAACTTACGTAGGTAATTGTAATACCTGTAGGAAATATAATCACGTACGATAAAATTATTCCTTGTTAGTCACTTTTACATATATAGTTAACATTTAAAGATTAATATCTTATAATTAAAAATATTTTTTTAAAAATTTTTCAAATATTTCTGAAAAACGTGTATTTAATATATTATAACAAAGATAGCATACATATGTTCAAATTATTTTAAACCAATCTTAGGCCGAAATGATTTGAACGTACGTACGTCCGTATAATTTAATGGTTAGAAGTAGGCTTCATATTAAAGTCCGGATATGGCTTACTGCATATAAAATAATTCATTTCTTAATACATGGGATCTTTGCTAGGAAAAACCCTTCGGGATTTTCCGATCGGCTAATTGAAAAAGCTTAAACCAGAATGCCGGTTCTTATTCACATGTAAATTTACCTTTTTACTTTACTGATTCGACAGTTTATTGATTTACATATGGGCAGAGTGCTACAGAAAAAGGGGAAATCGACAAATCTTCAAAAAAATTTTTTTTACACAACTCAATTTAGAATATAAAATTTATAACATAAAAATTGATCTTCTGAAGATCTTTTGTTTTGTCGATTTCGTAGCACCAAGCCCATATGAATAAAAACCGATCGGAAAATCCCGAAGGGTGATTTTCCACTTAAATTCCACCAACTGTTGAGATAGCACCGCACATATGTGTGATGTTTAATTCTGATTGTTGATGTTGTTTAATATAAATGTAGGGAAATTACGTTAACAAATAAACCCAATTCATTATCAAAGATATTTTGCGTGCAATCATTCGTTGCATTTAAAAACATATCATTTAAAGAAAGTTATTTGGTTCAAGTATTTTCGTACAGACCCACAACGCATTGCACACATAACTACTTAGCTCCAAATAAAATACAAATAAACAATAAATTTTGTAACACTATCAATGTGTCAATGTTCTAATAATTTCGATTTGATTAAAAATAATGAAACTATTACTGGAACCTGACCAAATCGATTATATGGATCACAATATTTTAAACCTAAATCTTACAGAATTAATAGCAGCAAGTTGGTACGTACGCATGTACGTATTTTGATGGAATATAACGATAAGTATAGCATAACCATTAATTCTGATTATACCCTTAAATTTAGGAGTTATCTGCGCTTGTAACGCAAACCATATATGGAATAGCCGAGAAACGTATTCAAAAAAAAAGAGAGAAAGCGAAGATAAAGAAAAACAAATGACAAAGTTAACTTACTAATTATAAATGTCGGAAACGCTATTTTGTAATAAAAACCAGTTCTTCTTTTTGCTACTTACATTAACCTTGAATCTAAATTTCTTGATATGTCTAGGTAAAAAAAAAAAAAAATAAACTAACTGCATCAGAAAAGTATCTCTAATCTTACTCTGCTTCAACCGACCTTCTTTTATGGCTATCAATATAATCAATATAAATAAATAAATGTGACAGGTTAATATGAGAGCATTTTGGAGGGTTTGGTCAGCTTTAGCTTTAGGGATAGAATTTATAATAACAAGTGGATTTTAGGGAGCTCAATAATAATGTGCACATTGCGAAATTTCTGTGATTAAGTCACGAACTGTTATTAAATAATAGATTGTCAATAGTTAATAATGAAATCACTTCTACTTTATAAGAAGAAATTTGTCAAAAAAAGTTGTTACTAAACAGCTTAAATTAAATAAGTTCGTATTGGGTTTTATTTTTAATAAAGTTAACCTTCTAGCATTTTTTTAAATTTATTTTTTAAAGCTAGAAACGACGTGCAATTGTGTGATGCTTTATTTGTGTGACATTACGTCCTTAAAAAACACTTCTACATAAAATCAAACCAAAAATAATCGGGTTAAAGTGTAGAATTAATGAACTTTTTTACATTTAAGATCCTTTAAAATGATGCACAAATAATTTGCTAACATATAAAGAAATATAATCTAAGGGATCTTCAATTATATTTTATCAGTTTCCAGTGGCCAAAAAAGGTCCAATAATCAAATTAGCTTAATGGTACGCATCAAAAATTAATAGATTGCTGTGTTCTTTAAAAGTACGACGCAAACAAATATTACAAAATTTATATAGTAATGTAATTTAATGGAGTCAAATGGAAATAACTTCCGAAATTCATCATAGGAAGTCAAAATATTCCACTAATTTTGAGTTTTACTATGATTATTAGTTATCAATGTATGTGTGTATTATACGTATTGTACATATTCAATAGATTTATGATTGGATTAAAAATTTGGTAAAGTATTTTTATATTGTCTACTTTATCTTTAATTCCGTAAATTTCTATTACGATTACTTTGTGTTTTGATTTTTATATAACCGTGATGTACTTTAGAAGGAAGTACAGCGACTTAGGCTGAGTTCATTAAACAAAGTTTTTTATTTTATTGAAACTCTTTAGCGCGAATTTCCCTAACTAATGTCTACAATAATTATAAATCTTGCGGATGACTTCAAATATTAATTTTCAAATTTGTAAGTTTTCCTAAGGACTTTAAAAACTTGGCAATAAGTTGCAAAAATTCTCTATTATAGCAAAGATAGTCAAACAAGAGCAGAATGAATTATATGCCAATATGGAAGGGCTCATGCACTCTCTCACGCTATAAGATGAGGCCAAACCTTTATTAATCTTTCAGTAGCAAAGGCTATTATTGTCAAGGGAGCTATTCTTTCTAGATACTTTATCCAAAGGCTAGTTACTCATTTTGGCGGTTATGATACTTCTTATAATACAGCAAGACAAATAAATATTAATAACATTGTAAATTTAGGAGCAAAAACCTCATGGGCAAGTGATTTGCAGATTTCGACCTTTTCATATTTAATAACTGAAGCTCAAGAACAAATGGAACCTAATAATCTCAAGGTTAGTGGGATGTTATACTTTTTTTTACTCTTCTTTCCGGAGGTGAACATGCAATCAATCGTGTGCAAGATATTTTATTTCAAAATATGGACACATTCAAAAGTTAATATTGCATATGAAATTTATTCTATTCCCACAAAAAATAAATCAATTACAAGAAAACCAAAATGAGTATCCAGCAAAAGATGGTTATGATAATTATCGGCAACTAAACGTAATAGCACGTTCAATTCTAATCTGCAAAGTTTCGGTTCATTTATGAAACAAATTGGGTACTATGAAATTTGTGAAAATTTAAATAATCTAGTAATGAAGAGTATATCTGTTCCTGTTTACTTTGTTTACTTAGTACATTTTTGAGATATAAGCACTCTAGTGATATTTATAAAAAATATACAGTAATAGCTACCAATTAATATAGTATAGTTTTTAGTTACTTAATTAAAAGATAATATTTAATATAATAATATATACAGTATATTATAATACAGATTAGTATAATACAATATTTTAAATTATAACTACAATATACTAAGCAACTATTTATATATAATTGTCCGAAGCATAGCGAGGACGTTCTACGGTGAAGTGATAGACCAGGTGTTACCTTGTCCGCATCTATTTTAGTTCGGATAATCATCAATTTACTTAATTCATCTGTTTCTATTTTTAGCCAATAGTCAAATAAATTTATAGCTCCGGACATTTAGCAGTGTCTGTTTTCCTAGTAGTTAATAAGTAGGTATTGTACATTCTTTACACTAGACTAATCAGGTTACTTATACTAAACCGCTATTCTGTACTTTCAAAATTAATACTATATAGTATTATCTTCAAGTTCTTATTTTTATATAATATAGCTTTGACTATTTATAAAAGAAAATCAAAATAAAAAAAATTACTTATTTATCACCCGACCCGGGTGAATTATTCACCACCTTAAAAAAAAAAATTACTTATTTATCACCCGGGTGAATTATTCACCACCTTAAAAAAAAAAATTACTTATTTATCACCCGGGTGAATTATTCACCATCTTTAGAAATATATGCTGCCAACCAATTATAGTATTATAGTATTGTAAGAGTTAGAGTTAGGATTTGAGTTAGAGTTGGATTTAGAGTAAAATTGTAAGAGAAAATTTTTTTTGTTAGTTATACAACAGGGTTACTCTAGTAAAATTTTATAGAACTCTAATATGGATGAGAAATATTCAAAATCTCTGGGCAAGAAATAAATATACTCTAATAGAAATTATAATACAAATTTTTAAGTAAAAGTATTTTTAAAAAATTCTTTTACGTAATAATATATTTATAATAGTAATAATAATAATAATATATAGTAATACAGTAATATATAATAATAATAATAATAATAATAATAATAATAAAATATAATAATAATAATAGTAATATATAATAATAGTAATATATAATAGTAATATATAATAATAATAATAATAATAATAATAATAATAATAATAAACACTGACGGATGATTTACCAGTATAAACATAATCTTAAAATTAAATTAGGATTATGCTAGTAAAATTTCATAAGTAAAAATAATGCACCATAGGATGCAAAATGCACATAACATTAAAATCGTTCATTTCATACTAAATTTGAACATCAATATAAATAAAAAATAGTTACGATAAGTTACGGAGACAAATAATTATACTAAAAAAAGTCCTAATAATGTCAGGGCTAATATCAAACTTTAAGAGCGGTTCAAACATCAGATTTAACCTTTCATTACACGATAACAGAGATGACTTCCCTGACCATGTTAAAATTGATATAAAACTCAAAACTTGAGTGCCAGGTTTAAACAAACTAGTCATAGAACATTGAATAATTATGATGTTGCAAAGACCCTAATTGCATCAGGATTGATATCAGTTTCTAACTTTGAATGCCAGTTATAGATCAAATTAGCTACAGCACGATGGTCGTTTGTTTTGTCGTTCGCCGACATATATAGAGTCTCTAGATTCGGCAATAAAGAAGATAAAACATAACAATGTTTATCAGTAATTCCACGAAAAGTAGAAATCGTGATATGCTTTAATTTTTCACATTGCGAAACTATTTTTAAAGAATCGGCCGAAACTTTCCTAAAATCTATTCTATCTAATGTCAGAGATATTAAGTGATCCTTTTGAGATTCCATAGCCTCAATATACTTTTCAGCACAAACACTGCGACATTTCAAAGTGAAATGATTTAACGTTTTTTGAGCTCTAATAAGTCTAATTAATAACATCGCAGTTTCTTCATCAATTTCAAATTCAGTGGAATCAAAAGTAATTTCACAAAGACTAAAACATAAATCAGGTAATGTTTTTAGAAATTGAAAAACATTTTTTTTTGTAGGAGTGTTGATCAGCGAAAGATTAAAAGAATGCAAACTCGATATGCCAGGTTGTCCCGAAGCAAAAATGGATACATTAGAACAATCAGGTTCATCTTCAGCTACCGTTATCTTCAAATTTTTAAGGTTTTTATTTGTACGCATAATCATCTGAACTATAGCGGAGACGACAGCCTGAACTATACGTAGTTCTCCACATTGGCAAAAATATCCAGCACCAGCAAGCCATTTTAGGCAAGCAATATGTAAAGAATGCAGATCAAGTGTTTCTAAACAAGGTGCATATTTTGAATGCGACTTGGCAAAAGGAAAATTGATTCTGAGGGGAAATAGTGTTTGTTGTTCTTCTTTGTTTAGTTCATTTAAATAGGCCAGGATTATTGAGTCCCGCCATTTCGGATTATTGATAAACGGGTTTTTCCATAAAATATGTGCAGCAATTGTATGTAAAATTTTGTTGACAAACAAACAACTGTGCAGATCTTTTACGTCTTCTAAGTCAGTAAAAATTTTAAGAATGCATTCAGTCGGAAAGTCTAAAAATTCTTTTGTTTTATCTAACATACACCATACAACTTGCTCTTGAGCTGAAAAAAATAAAAAAAAATTAAATGAATAACATTTGAAACGAATTTTGTACAATCAAAATCTTCCTAAATGCAACTTGTACACATCAACCTTTTTATTTGCACTTGGAAACAATGAGATTGCATGGCAGAGGTTGAGCATATATTTTGAGCATGCATTTAGAAAGGTGCTGTATTTAGGGAGATCTGACTGTATTTCTTAAATTGTCATGTAAGAATATGAAGTAAGACATCCATGCGGATTCGAATATAAAAAACTCTTACTTTCTCTAACATCTTCAACATTCAAATCAACTTTTTCAATATCAACATTATTCCTCTTATCAACATTCCTATTATCATTCAAAGAGTTGGTGTCTATACACAGAGAATTTTTAGTTGTAACATTGGTGATGAATTCAGTTGATGTATAAGTTAATGTATCTAAAACGTTTTTAATTTCACATAATGTTGGGCGTTTGTCTGGATCAGTTTGCCAACATTTATTATAAATGCTAATATATTCCATAGGTGTACCAAGAGTCTCCTTTTCTTTTTGACATTGCAAAACTATCAAATTCACATCAGAATTATAAAAGGGTGGAATTCCACTTGTAAGCTCCCAAAGTATCATACCAAGGCTGTATATATCTGATCTTTTATCAAGCAAATAATTTGCTTGGAGAAAGCATTGAGGCTCAGTATAAGCAGTCTTGACCTTTGGCTCGAATATAGATATACCTCGATTACTTAATTGCGCTGATAAACTAAAATTATATATCATTGCTTTATTCTCATGGAGCAGAATATTTTTAGAATTCTAATAAATAAATAAAATAAGTAAATTTGATATTTAGAGTGACATTAATTTAAGGGTAACGTTATATCTTTTGATTGACTGAAATAGGCGTACACTATTAATTACAATTAATTCGTAATCTGCCTATAAGCGTTAGTACTCATATGGTAAAATTTGGGCAAACTTTTACAATATGAATACTATTTCTTATAGGCGAATCACGAATTAATAATTTAATACATACTAATTCGCAATGAACAACTTCATTAAAATGCAACCATTCTAGTCCAGAAACAATTTCTTTTGCTATTCGGATAAGCTCATTCCACGAAATTTTAAAAATACTATCACTTGTTTTACTTTGTAAATAGTCTTGCAGATTCCCACCGTCTGCATGCTGCAAGACAATCATGAAAGTGTCATTTTCTAGATTAAATATAAGATTTATGCGTTAAGATATAAATTAATAACTTTTCACATGTACAATTTTATACCTTCAGCAACTCCTAGGATTTGGCAAATATTCGGATGATTGTTATTCTGACTTCCAATTTTACAATGAATCTTGAGCTTTTCAAATAAACTTTTTGCGTTAAAACAATACAAAAACCAATTATTTGCTAGTTAAAAAAATACATTGCCTCATTTACAACACGTTCAATACTATTTTGGCTAAAAAAATCTTTATTCTCTTCTACTATTTTTAAAATAACTCTTATGCCTTTTAGTTCACAATAAGCCGATTTTATGTCATTTACATCATTGCAGATATGTTTAAAATCGCTAAACTCCGAACTATTAAACAGGCATAATGATTTATTGTTTAAAGCCGAATTCACCCATCTATTTGAACAAACAAACCCTAATACTTAAAAAGTTAACAGCATACTATAAGAACACTTTGCCAATGTAAAGGTTTAAAATAATCAGGGTTGGTATATTGACTAATTTGATCAATTTTTAGTTACTATCAAATTTTATTTTTATTAAATTTTTGGTCTTTATCTTAATAAATTAATGCATAAATTAATAAAAATTATTATATTTTATAATAATTAAATTTTCTAAAATTGATCAAATTAGCCAGCTTTGTTTATTTACCAGCCTTGAATATAAAAATTTAAATGATAACTCACAAAAAATGCACGTTATTTTCCATTAAAACATCCGGAGTATATATAAGAGTAAGTAATGTATATAACAATTCAAATACACATTATTATGCATTTGTACATACCAATATTCTGATTGTCATTGGGATTCATAGTAATCTGTTTTTTTTTTTAATGGATTATTGGTTCGAAAAAGATCGTGCATAGGACGAACAAAATTTGCGACAATAAAACTTATCTCATTATATAGTCTTTGTTCTTGTAATGTTTCACAAATTATCAAAACAAACAAAAATAAAGAAATCACATGTGTTATTGTCGTAATACGATATAGATTTTGACAATAAAGACAAAATACGTAATTTCAATACTTTGCGAGTAATACAACCCTAAAAAGGATATAAAATGAATTAAGTGCGTGTTATTTGATTGGTACAGTACTGCTTTTTTGACGAAAAAACAATCCAATTATCCCTATTCCTATTGGATCCACATCTAATATAGCCGAAAAGAAAAGTGTAATACATTTTTGTCAAACTTTGGGATGTTCCATTTTTGCAACACAAACACTCAGCCAATCTAAATTTAAAATTCGATTATCCCGGACACGTGTGAAGGAAGTAAAAAAAGGAGACAATGCTCGAAAACTAATGTTTGAGTATACTTTGGTGAACTAATTAAAAATGACTGGCATGAAATTTTATATATACCAAGATAATTTTATCCCTTTAATGCTAACGTTCTAATTCTAATTTTATATTCATGTTTTGTGTAACAATTAAATTCCGACAATACAAGCATCACATTCTTAAAACTTCCAAGTAACTTTACCTAACTTAAGCATGGACGTAAGAACGTGTCAGTTTGTTAGTTTAATTGAAGAACAAAAAAATAATAAAAAAATAAAATAACTATGACGACTGAAATAAAGAAATAAGGTTTTCTTCTAAAAATAAAAAGTAAGATCAAGCTAAGCAATATAAATTCAGACGTTCTTAAAATATGTTGCAACGGATTAGGCTGATATTGACCAATTACACCAAAAGATAGAGAAACATATTCATTCTCAAACTCTATGATTAATTTTGCTTGACAAGCAGATAAATACTCCGTTCCAAGAATATTCATATCTGTGAGATGAGAGTTGACAGGAGGCAAAAGTGTACTAATAGGATTATTATTTATCAGTACTGGATGGTAGGATGTATTCAATAATGTTACTTTGTATGATTCAAAAGCTTCTTTGCAGATGTACGTAGTTGGGGAGCTGGTATCAACAAGAAAGTGAACATTTTTTGTTTCTCTCTTGATTGTGACTGGTAGGGATACAAAAATTCTGCGATGTTGTCCAAATATAATTCCGTTCACTTCTTTAAATTCTTTATCCGGAGAATATGATAAGTATTTCATTTTTAGCATTTCCGAAATTTCTTCGTACAGGTCAGGTCTTTGGAATCAACATCTGTTAATAGGACATCGTACTTTTCTGGAATATAATCAACATCCATTATATCAAACAAATCTATCTTCTCTTTATTAGCCATCTTGGTTCTATTTATCTTCGTTGATTAAAGATTTATCCGTTGAAAAAAATCCAATAATTGTGCAGGAGCAATTATGTCATTATTACCAATCGCACTTTTAAAAACCGGTTTACTGTAACTTTTTATGTGTCATAAGTTAAATAAAATGTAAAAGAACGTCACACGACATCCTCTGACGATCTTAAAAAAAAACATTATGATTGGCTAATTTTTGTTCATTAAAATTAATAAGCCCACGAGCGTAGCATAACCACCACGATCAGTTACGTACGGAGTTGAAATAATTGCCGAAATTTTAATGATGTATGTATCAGTCATAATTAATAATGAGTTAATAATGACGATTCTGTTTATATATTGTAATTTAATAACAAGTGTCGTTTAAAAATTTTCTTACCAAATGTTTCATTAATAGAATCCAACTATTCAACCAATCGGATTTAAAAAATGCTCGCTTGCCGAATAATAAAATAAATTAATGAATTTGAAACCAATAAAGAAACATGTATTGAATGCTTAACACGTATAAATAAAGGCAAAAAAACGGAAACGTTAAGAGCAGGATATGAATAATTTTGAGTTCACAGTCTCTGAATCCTCAAATAGCTCATTTTATTGGTCATGAAACTTCTGCGATTTAGGTCAAATTTGATAATTTTATTTCCAAAATTTTTCGTGTCCCTGGTCTTTAGACCGACTTCAAGAAAGACCCGACTTTTAAAGTCGTTCAGATCGAATCAGACTGATCACATCTTTGAGATTTATGTTCTTATGAGAAAAATAAATTTGATTTTAATATTCTCGGAATTTATTTTTCGTTCTCAACAGTAAAATTTATTTATATATCCCTATTTTTTAAATCCTTATTTCTAAAAATACCGGACATTTATTCAAACTTTTGTCCCAACCTTTCTCACCTTTTATATTCATTCGTTTTCTTTTCGAATTTTGATTTCTAATTTTATTTCCATCTGGCATTATGCTATTATACTTATATTGAAAACATATTTTTCAAGTATGCAAACTAACTCACTTAACTATTATTATAGTACAAGAATAGCGGGCAGTTTTGTACAGAATTTTTTAAGTAACCCATATTAGAAATTATAACAGTTCCAATACACCTTAACACTGAAATAGTGAGTAACTTTTGTAATAAAATTATTTACAATTACTCATGATAGAATGCATGAATATATTGTGGTCACAAAATAGTAAGTTCTGCAAAAGAATTATTTAAGGTAACTCTCAATAGAATTCATGGTAACTCAAATATAACTACATATTATGGTCACTGGAATAGTAAGTAGATTTTGTATCAGAATTTTGTTTATAATATCTCATGATAGAATTCATGATGATTCTAATGTAAATTCGTTTAAGCAAATTAGTAAGTTCTATAACAGAATTTTTTTAATAACTTATGTTAATCTCAATGCAAACTAACACACTTTAAGCACTTATTGTAAGTTCTACAACAGAATTATTTACAGTAACAGATAAAATTCATGATAATTCAAATGCAAAATAAATCAAACTTATCCGTATATTATGGTCATTGGAATAGCAAATTCTATAATGGAATTTTTTACTGTAATTCATGATAAAAAATCATAGTAATTCCAATACAAACTGACTCAATTTTAACTACAAAACTGTAGTCACTGGAATAACAAGTGAGTTCTTTATAAAATTATTTACAGTAACTCACAACAGAAATTATAATAATTTCGATACAAACTAATTCATCTTAATTAGATATTGTGATTATTGGAATAGAAGTAAGTCCTGTAACAGAATTTTTCAGTAGCTCGTGATAGATATCATGTTAATTCCAATGTAACTAACTCAAACATATCTATATATTATGATCACTGGAATAGCAAGTAACTATAGCAGAATTTTTTACAGCAACTGGCAAATAAAATTACAATAATTTTGATGCAAACTGACACAAATTTAATCACATGTGGTAGTTGCCGTATTGCACTATTGGTAGATAAATGATGAACAAATTATATAATACAGAATGTGAGACAATGTAGAATAGTTAATTGGAAGTAAAATAAATTAAACAAAAATTAAGACAAGAAGTTAGTTTACTTAATTGTGATAAAAAGATTAAGAGAAATGATTTTCGTACATCAGTTTCGTGTAACTTCACGTACATCAATTTAGGTTTGGCCAATAAAATCACAGAATTTATCAGTCACTTGAAATTTGACTTTAATATTGACCAATAGAAAAAATTGATGTACGTGATATTACACGAAACTGATGTATGAAAATCATTTCTCAAATTTTAAATAATAAAATTTTATACATAACCTGAAGTGCATAAAACTCTTGTCCAAAAATTTGTACTGATATAACACAATAACATAACAAACAATGTGTAAAGGCTACAAAAAACACTAAACAACTTCTCATCATCATTAATACAAAGCTCTGCCTTCCTATAAGTTATAATATAAAATAAATGAAATTAATGAAATTTGAGAATTGCACCAAAATTACACTATAATTAATATATAACAAGTTAGCATCAGTAATAATACGATATATCATAATCCATTCTAACTCCCTTTAAACAATTCAAGCGCATAGTTTTACTTAACTTTATTTGTAGCTATTTTTTTTTTTTTAAAAAAAAAAAAAGCAATACATGGAAATAGAGGTATCCAGAAAAGTCTTTTCAGTGCTGCCACCTTTATCTATAAAAGTGCCTATCTATATTTTCAACAATATCTAAGTCAATAAATTCACAAATATTTTCAATAGTAATGATGAAAAAAATTACTGTACAGTACCTAATAAATTTCTTAATCAGCCATGCTTGGCGTAACATAGCCTTAAGAAGGTCTGGATAGTTCCATCCTATACCATTTGCAGCTTTACAGCTTAAGCTACTTTGCATATTGCGTCCAGGACGGCCAGGTCCTGACATATTGGGTTTCATATTTATATCAAGCAAAGCAAATGTTTTTTCTGGTGCTATTCTACGGCAGTCTATACGGATTGGTGCTAATGGTCTCATAATTTGTGCAGCCTTTTCACAATCTTGAGCGACTTGTTTATATATTGGATTTTGTGCTTCCTCATTGCTAATAAGTGTGCTATTCTCAACTACAGCAACAACTCCGCTATATGGAGCAATACCATTATTGTGATTAAATCTCTTTACTAGTGGTAAGTGCCAATATTTATTAAGGGTACCATTTTTAAAATTAATAGCATATATTCCAGGAGGCATAATGGTAGCTGTTATCTCTTCTCCTTCCAAATATTCTTCAAGAATTAAAGTATCACCATACTCAAAGCAATATTGACCGTCAATCACAGTTCTGTTGGACAGAAGCTTTTCCGCATGCTCTTTCATTTGCTCAATAGAATCAACATTTTTAACACCTTGACTTCCCCGGCCACGTATAGGTTTAACAACAGCAGGAATCGGATATTTTTTTATTTAAAATATCCAAGGTTATATTATTTAATTGGTATGTACCATTATATGTAGAGCTTCCAATTAGAATCGCACGAGGAACCAAAATTCCATTGCTTTGATTAATTCATTAGCATACCATTTGTTATCATATTTATCTACACTTGATGGAAGATGGCCAACAAGCTTAATATCTTCTCTAAAGCTCATGCAATTCAATGGATTAGTATTGAAGAGAATAGTATTTGCCCAAATCGTCTTTGCACCTTTTGAAATGGCTGTACTTATTCCTTCTTCTGTGTCAGGAAAAACCCAATCCAAATCAGAAGTTGGGCTAGGATTATCAACAGGGGTAACTATAGGAATGTTGTTGGATCTCAAAGAATAGGCAATATCAGCTCCGCTATCACTATAACCTCCAGGTTTTAATGGCTTCCGAATTCCATCAATTATAGGAGGTTGAAGAGCTTGATACAAAATAGCAACTGGGTTGAATTCATAATTATGAAGGTTGTGATAGCTTACATTTTTTCCCTTATTATACAAACTTTTGTCTAATCTAATACCTGCATTTATTTTCTTGTATTTTGAATTGTTATTACTATTAAGTGGTATATTTCTATAAATATCATGCATATTTTTGAGAATAATCACCATTTAACCGAACTCGGCATAATTTACGATTTCCAACAAATTCACCGCAGCCGTGCAACGTTCTATGATTATCCACTATTAATATTAAGGTATGTTCCTTTTCTTTAAGGTGTATTTTAACTTGGTATTTTGGATTCATAAGATAATTGCTATGAAGGAATTTTACAGCCTCATAGGACTAATATTGAGCAAATGCTGTCTGATCGTATCGAGAATGCTATCATCTTGGGATACGTATCATTTCACCGACAATCACCGACAAGCTTATTTTACCGACAATTGGTTCACCGACATGTTTATTTCACCGACAATACGTTTCACCAACAATATGCTTCATCAACGGATACATTTCACCAACAATACGTTTCACCGACAATACATTACACCGGCAATACGTTACACTGACAAGTTTACAGCTGTTTTCATAAATTCTGGGACACCTAAAAAATTTGCCGATGATAATTCGGCCGAGTTCAATAAGTTATTGATCGGTATGATCAGTATAATAAAATAATTACAGCTGTTCTCATAAATTTTGGTACAACTGATAAAAATTTGGCCGAAGTTAATTCGATATACATGTACGTACTGCTTTTATTTTACAGCTGTTATCATTATTCCTGGGACACTTGGTAAAAAATTAACCCGAATGATTATTCTGCCGATTAGATAAATTATAGATTTCGGGAATAATAAAATTCAGTATCAAATATATTAAATACGTAATTTAATAAGATAAGGTAACCAATATATATTACAATAAGACTAAATATTGACATGCACTTATAAGTCGTAAATTTCAATTTCTATTCTTTGGCACGATCCATTTTTCTCAAACGAAACCTTTATTCATTTCTAACTATTTTTGCCGAAAATTCGGTGTATTCCTATTCTTTGACAAGGTCCATTTTCATTCAAACGAAGGCATTTATTTATTCATTTCTAATTATTTTTCGTTTCTTATCGAAGACGAAAAATTCGGGTTTAAAAAATTAAATTAAATTTCAATCCCTATTCTTTGGCAAGATCTATTTTCGTGCAAACAAAAGCATTTACTTGGATTTCGTTTGGCATAATTCTTCTTGCATTCTCGACAAATATTAATAATATCTTGGTCGCTTGGAATCCTAACCCAAGATTCATTTTTAAACCAGTCGACAAACTCATAATCATATTCAACTTTTTTAATTGCGGCACCTGTTTGAGTAATACTTTTGTTATAAACGTCTAATTTATATTGATTCCTTTTTCGCATTTTTTTTAATATGATTAGTTTTTTCCATAAACTTTCGTACAAACTAAGCCTACCAAATATCCTAGACAAGCATTCGAACGAAAATTTAAAATCGTTGACATTATTGTTATAACAATCGTAAAATGATTATCATACCCTACAAAAATAGCTTTATTAATTATTTTATTATACGGAACACACCGAAATCAATAACTTATCGAATTAGGTCGAAATTATCATCGGCAAATTTTTTTGGTGTCCTAGAATTTATGAAAACAGTTGTCGGTGTAACGTATTGTCGGTGTAACGTGTTGTCGGTGAAACGTATTGTCGGTGAAATGTATCCGTCGGCGAAACGTATTGTCGGCGAAACATATTGTCGGTGAAATGATTGTCGGTGAATCAATTGTCGGTAAAGAACCGAGGTGTCGGTGAACTGATTATCGGTAAATGATCACCACCCATCATCTTGCATGTGCTTACAGACAGGATATTTCATAGACATATGGGCTAGGTGCTGGAAAAAGGAACGAAAATGACAATTTTTTCAAACTAAATTTTTTTACATAAATTAATTTAGAATAAGATTAGAATCTTTTTTCACTTAAGACACAAAAGTAATTGTGTTAATAAAATTTTGCAGTATAGCTCTTTAAAGTTTGTATTTTCTTATAATCTATTATAAGATTTATATCACAAAAATTGATTTTCTGAAGATCTTTTGTTTTGTCGATTTCGTTCCTTTTTCCAGCACCTAGCCCATATAATCATTTCTGCAAAAAGCTACACATCCAGGCTTCATTAAAATCTCGGCTAATTTTGGTCATTCTGCCAAAATTGATTCCAGTACTTTCTTGCCGCCAAAAAATACAATTTCACCACCATCAGCATCGTATTCAATGGGTTGGAGCAAAAGCATTTTGGGGGAGGATATTTTTACCATTGTAGTCTTGACTGGAAACATACCTTCAAGAAATATTCTATCGGTATGAGGGGAGATAGCCACTTCTTTTGATATACCTTGATACTTTTCCTTAAAAATTTTCCAGCTAGAATATTTCGAGTCTAATTCACTGACAACACCATCATAATCAGAACGAATATGGGATTGAATTATCCTTAGGACTTGAGAGATAGTCTTGAGCGTTATAATATCAGAATCCCAAATTTCTATGACAGAAAAACCGCTGCATTTAATTTCATTTTTAATATCTTGTATGGAATGGTAAAATTGATCAGAAGTGCAACAAATTAGAGGAATGCTATTATTAATTAACGATTTCTTATTCGCTTTTAAAATACTTAAAACTTTATTGGTTTCGCTTTCAGCCATTTAATTTCATTTATAACCTTAAAAACATATTTATTCTTCGTCTGAAACGGGAATTTATGTTATACGTAGTTGGTTGCAAAAAAATGCATATTCGAATCTTTTAATGTGCAGCCGAAAGAAGTTTGTATGTAAAATCTATTATAACGATTAATTTTTTCTGTGTATCCTCACTTCCGTATTTGTCTAATTCTTTAAGGCACCTTCCTTAATTGTACCATAATAGTCATGTTAATCTTACCTTAGTAGTATTAGGCAAGTGCGTCGACGCTAAAAATAATAGCATCAGCGCTAAATTTATGCGTCAACGCTAAAAATCATATGATCACGTTCTAAGTGCTTGCTCTCACCCGTTGATAAAAAAAACATTCGTTCTCCAAATTCCTCTATAAATAAAGATTATATAAATTCACATTCATTTATAATAAATGCCTAATAAATCATGAATATCCGAATACCATAATTTATTACCTAAATCATAACGGAGTTAAACTCGGCATAACAGCACCAAGCTCTCCCTTACGATGGTTACACTATGTAGCCACAAATACTAAAACCCGCAAAAATATTTTCGTGTATAGTGTAATCCGCAATTTAAATGCCCTTAAAGATTAAATGAAATACCTAACTAAATTAAAGCTTATATATAAAAATCCGTTAACGTTAATTAAAATAAGTTATACAGTAATACTCGAAATACAAATTTATTAAGATAGCACAGAAATCGAATGATTTTCATTATTCCCATTTGATTTCATTAGAGATATTCAATTTTGCGCGGCCATCCTGCCATACATGAAAATGTGCGAACTAGATTGTACCGAATTTAGATTGTTCAATTTTTTTTAGCTTGTGCTATCTTTGTGCATAAAATCTACAGTCAAAATTTCCTTGCAATTCCAAGAAAAGAAATATCTCATCCGTCCTTTTATATAGATATTTAAAATACTGTATTATACGTGGGGCGTTAAAAAGTTTCGAGAATGTTTATTTCAATGAGTTTTAAATATATAAATCTAATAGTGCTCGGATCGAACAAAAACTCGATTATCGAGTTTTTGAATCTTTCAATTTACAATATTGTGCATTAAATATAAATCTTTATTTTTAGTATATATATAAATCTAACAGGAATCCGATCTTACTTTAGACTTCGTGGTAACTAACATGAAGTTTAAAGTCAGATTAGAGTAAACATGGATTTTATAATTGAAGCACAATACTATAAATCGATAGATTCAAAAACTCGATAATCGAGTTTTTGTTTGATTTTGCCGAGCACTAAAATCTAAAAAATATAAATATTATAATATTTGTTTTTGTAGAAATAATAATATAAATTAATTAGAATTAATAAGATAGTTGTTAGAAATTAGCTTTTAAAAGTTAGCCTACTTTTATTATTAAATTTTACTAATAAAATATAACGATAATATAAAAAAAATTTATTATTATCCAAAGCAAACTGAATGCACATCTATGTGATGTTAGGTGGCTCGGACCAATAAATTTTAATTTGCATGTTATACCACAGATAATAAGAGCTGAAAAAGTCCGGGAACTATATAAGCACTATTTAAACTCCGCAGCAAAACATTCTCTATTAACCATAGCTGCCGCAACAAAATATCACAGCAGATTCTTGATTTTGATTGGCTAAGAACAATGTTCAAAATTAGGCCGGAATTACTTGGAATTTTACTAATGAAACAAGGGTAAATGATATTACTAAGGGAGTTTTTATTTAGTGAACTTTGTAAGAACTCCATGCTGACTTCTTTGGACCAGAAGGAGGAAAAGCATTAGCAGATGCACTTTGCTAGAACTTCACACTAATTGTATATAAAAACATTAGTTTCAAATTAAACTCATAATTCAAATATTAAAATAGTTTAATAAATTAAAAATACATATAAAATGAGGTACCGTATACTTCCGAAATTAAGCACCCCCTCGGAGCAATTTTTATAGTCAAAATTCTCGTGATCTAATAATCGGA